TGGCGAGACTTGCTATTTCTGGACTAGTAACTGGTCGCCGTTCGGTAGCATAACAAAATACCTTCAAGGAGAAAGCTCTCGTAACACTAGAATCCCGTCAACGTCTACCTTGGCAGAAATATGGCATCTAGGAACTTGGCAACTTCCCCCTGCAAGATCGGATGCACAAGTTAATGTTCAGTCTCATCTCTCCACCTTCTTGCTTACTAATGAAGCTGTACCTATCAATGGATGCCGCAGGGAAAGCATACAAAAGTCTACTCAACTAAGGTAATTTATAACCTGTTGCGTGTTCACCACCAGCAAGTCCCATGGTACAAGGAAGTCTGGTTCTCTAATGGAATTCCACGACACAAGTTTCTGTCCTGGCTTTTCGTTCTCAACAGATGCCCCACAAAAGTTAGAATGATAGAATGGGGACTTGACACTGATCCTATTTGCATCCTTTGCAACTCGGGTTATGAATCTAGAGATCATCTATATTTCTCATGCTCCTACTCTTGGGAGGTCTGGAACTATGTGGCTGGAAGATCAGGGTTCTCCACGCCAAGAGGGTGGAATGAAATCCTAACGCAGTTGGAAAAACTTAAAAATCCAAACCACACCAGACTCCTAGCTCTCTTGGCTTGGCAGGCTTCTCTTTACTATATATGGGCGGAACGCAATGGAAGGATACACCGAAACACATTTAGACCCCCATCTGCCATCATCAAGGAAATTCACTCTATCACCAAGCTCAGGATTGATACTATCTCATCTGCTATTCATCACCTGTCTTCTCTTCCTGCTACTTATTTACTTGGGCAAGTGCAATAGTTAGTTGGGTGTTTACTTTGAACTGCTTGCAGTTTTAGGTTCAGTTCATTGTAAGGCATTTGCCACTAAGCTTGGCTTTGTAAAACATTTCTTTCTCATGCATTTCAATAGAAAATCTTTTAGCAAAAAAAAAAAAAAAACATTTGACGATTGCACTGTTAATCTCTTTAATCTTCAAACAGAGATGTTCAAGAGAGATCGACTAGAAAACATTCTTTTTAGTTTTGTGAGAATTTAGAAACATTTTTTTTGCTTCTTTTTCTCAGAGATTGAGATCAATGTGGAGTTCACGAGAAGATACAATGCTAAAGGTTGGAGTTTAAAAATATGCATGGAGCTGTGTGTTAGCATACGTGTTGCATCATCAGAAATCACCCTTGCGTGCAAAGAAATGTTCTTTGATCTAGTTGAACCAGGTGCTTTCTTATTAATTTAAATATCATTTTTTCTTTAGTTTCTATATATCATTAATTTTGATGGTTATGATTATTTTTGTTTAACTGCTACTCTATGATTGTGACTAAACAAAAAAGGTATTTTTTAGTTTTGTGAGATTTGCAACCATTTTCTCTTCTTCTCAAAGATCAATGTGGACTAGTCATGAAACTGTGAAACTGAAAGTGATTATAGAATTCATTTAATTTTGTTAGGTCAAGAATTGATTATAGAATTCATTTAATTTTGTTAGGTCAACCTTGCAATGAAATGTATTGTATTTGGTTTTAGAATTCTAAATTAATTATGTGCTTAAACACACTTTTAGAAACAGGTGGACAAACTGAAAGGACATATTGATCGCCACCAAATTTAAGGTTACTTCTTTTTCAACACATTTTCAATTTTCTTCATTTATTTTCTAAACTGTGTTTTTTTCCACCTTGATTCTTTCTTTTTTCATGTTTGAACATGAAGTACATATCGACTTTGATGGATGATCGGTGAATATTCTTTCTTTTGGTTTTGGGTTTCCTTTTTCATTACTGTTTTTTCGTGTTTTCTCATGGAATTTTATTTAGACATAGCTAAAGATTTATGTTTTGTTTTCTTTAAAACAATTAGATTATAAAACTCAGAATCTTCTATCTAAAAGTGAGATTAAAGAGAAGCTTACTTTAGTCATACACAATTACTTAAGACTCACGTCTGAAAGAGGAGGTTGAAATGTTTGGATTTGCACAAATTTTGAAAACATCATCTATTCTGAAACATAAAAACTTCTTTAAACATCTTAAACAACATTTATTTTGAAACAGAGGTAGTATTACTTAATTTTATATTCATTATTGTTTTTTTTTAACTTAGGGTTGTTTATTGTTATAGGTTGGACCAATGAAGAAGACGTCCGCCTTAAAGAATTGGTTGAAAGTTTTGGCACAAACGTACAGTGGACAACAGTTCGTCCATTCAAAAGTTGCGTTTCGCGATATGGTTACCTGGTAACATTGTTTTTAACTTTTGTGTTTTAATTTTTTCTTTTGTTATGGTTAATTTTTATGATGATTAAACTAATATTTAATTTGCAGACTGATGTTGTGGATATGAATCTGCCGACTACGAAAACAGTTCTGTTGGGAAAAGAGCACGCCGGCAAATGAAAGTATTTACTTTCATTTTTAGGTTAAAGTCTCAGTGCCTTTAATCATGCTTTTACTTTTGTTTTTAAATTGACAGGATTTGAAGAAATCAGGAACATGATCGAGAAAGAAACTAAGAGTTCAACTAGAGGATTGAATGATTGTGTTTGTTGTTTTGAATTTGTGTTTTAGAATTTTTTGGGTTTTATGGTTTTTTGTTTTGATTTTGTCGACAATTTTGAAGACTTAAAAAAGAAAAATAAAAAAGTGGAAGCTTTTGTATTGTTTGATGTTCCCGTTAATACAAGTACTGTAAACGTGTTAGAAGAAGAGAGTTCTTATTCTTGGCTTTGGAGTTTTAAACAAGTACCTTCCATCACCTAGTAATTTATCTGTTCCGGAGTTTTCACAGTTACCACCTTTCCTTTTAAGGAAACCTTCACGGAGAAGCAGCAAATGGTCAAAGAAGGTGCAGCCTGGAGTTGACCTCATTGGTCATGTTCTTCTACTCCAGGTCTTACTCACGTTACAAGAGGTTCCGTAACGGTGGTCTGAACTCGGCACAACAAGACTTCTCACCAGATGCAGAGTTCTCAGACCGTTGCAACCAAATCTCTAAAGCGGCTCGGGAAATGGCAAACTCAGGTGTAGCCGGGACAACAACCATATCACTTGACGATGACATGTGGCTTAACAGCGAATCACAGAAGGAGAAGAAGAGGTTCATTGCTTATTCTCCCATCACAAAGACTGAGGAATCAGATAGAGGACATGAAGAATAACTCACGAGGTTTTGGATGATATATCTCCGGTGGAGAATTGTTTTGAAGAACGTGATATGTGCAAAGCGCTTGTCTCTCAATGGCAAGATCGTTCTTCATTCATATCAAGACTTTCTTTCTCAGTACCATCTCCATAAATGAGTTGTAAGTCTTGGTTCACACGGCTTCGTTTTATCTTCACATAACAGTTTTGTATGATCTGATAATTTATGTTTTGTGGTAATATTCATTTTTACAGGATAAGGAATTGCAACTCTGTATACTGCTTTCTTCTTCTATTCTGTTTTTCTAATGTTGATCATCTCTCTCATGTGCTATAAGAGAAGAGAAAAAAAATAATTGGGTAAATTCTCTAGGCTATGATATCATGTGTGTGTATTCACATAGTGATAGTGCCGTATTTTATACAAATAGGATGTACTAGATATGATATACATTACATCATTACCTGATGTACTTAGATCACCATCTCAATATGCTAGAGCTAGCGTAATGATTGCAAACAAACCTTAAAAGAGGGCTTAAGTATCTCAAAGATGACCAAACAACGGCTCCTCCATTATTCCTCGATGATAGCTTGATGGCTATTCTCATGTTTAATATCTCAGCATTTGAGATTACACCTTATATTCCACTAGAATGGTTTGTCTTCGTCTATTCTTCATATTAATTCATCAGTAAATTACTCATCGTATAAACAAAACTGGCAAACACTAATCAGGGGACAAGACTATAAAAACAAATATGGAAGCTGTAGGTCGCAAGAAACAGGTCTCTGAAAAAAGAGGTTTCCTTTACTTACACTCACAAACACAAAAGTGTAGTTATTGAAAACTCCAAAAAAGAATATATTTATTTATCATCAGACAAGATACGCTCATATTCCATTGTCAAATCCTCACACAGTCTACTAGATCGTGGAAGTATGTGGAAGCACCGTAACCTAGTGGTTAAGGTTTAAATGCTTGTACACCAGGTCTGGGGTTCGAATCCTAGGCTACGCAGTTTTTACACCAGGAGGATTTCAATTCCTGGAGAAGGTGAATGGCGAATTATGCAGATTGGAGAACGTTTACAGGAGATCTTCAGCATGGCGCAAGGCATACCGTCAGGAATGGATCTCATAGGGCGGCTCAGGATGATGCAGTCAGACGTGAATCCGCATAAGGCAGGTAGAATTGTCAGCTGTAATATCGTCTATGTAATATTTCTCATAGTTTGTAATGCATGAGTATCCAGTGTTAAAAAAAAAGATCCTGGAAGTATATATAGCCTGGTGGACTTGCAAGATATAATAAATCATCTGAACACACACACACACAGAGACAGTCTCAAGCAAGTGATGATGCAAAAACGAACTATTTGTTCCACCATTTAATGGTAACTGATAGTTAATAATTTTACTGATATTTTAGTAATATAATACTTGATTAATAATTATTTTAAATAATAACCGTGACTAAAATGATATAGATTTCTTTAGAACCATGTTTGAGATCGCGAGAATGTTTAGCGAATCAAAAGAAAATTCGGAGATCAATGAAAAATTGTATGTTTCATATAAGGTACAAGAAAACCCGTTAGCTCAGGTGGTTTTTTTTTTTTTGATTAATACTGATTTGTGAATTATGATTTCCCAACCGGAGTTCGATCAACCCTAGTCAATTTTTAGTGGTTTTTCTGTATTTTTTTACGTTTAAGTGAAGGCAACATAGTCATTTGACATCATCCTCTTCTTTTTGACCTACGAATTTTCTGGTTTTATTTACAAATACAAAATCAAACATAAATAATAATAAAAATTCTGAACTTCCGACATAAGTCTCGGTTAACCGATCTCTCCGTCAAAACCCCACCAATGGATGTTGTATCTTGTTCTGAACACTGCCAAGACCGTAGATTGTATCCTTCTTTGTATGTCCTCTCTGCAAAAAGAAAGGAAGAATAAGCATAAACAAGCATTTCCAATCACAAGCACCATAACTAACTAAGACAATCTCAATTCCAATAATTAACTTAGACAATCACAAGTATTTCCAATCACAGTTCAATAACCAATTATTAAACCAAATAAGATGAAATAAATAAAATGAGAATGAGAGAAGAGATGACTTTGATGTATTCTTGGTTGAGAAGAAAGCGCTTTGCATTCGAAGCAGCAGTGGAGTCAGTTTGACTGTCACCTAGTGGAGATCCATCTTATAACATCTCTTCAACGGCTTCCTCAACCTCCAGCACCAGTTTTTCTGTACGTTAGTCTAGGAAGGAACCATCTTTACCCATGTGAGTCTTCCTCGAAGGGCTGTGTATGAAGGTGGTTGTGCATCTTCTTCCCTTCTGAAGCAGATTTACGAGATTTTTCAGCTTTTGCACTCTTCTTTTTTGCTTCCTCAGCACACTCGTTACATGTCCTGCAATGCTTACTACTACGTTTTACCTAAATTAAAACACAAAGAAACCATGCACATAAGTCGTAACTTTCATAACAAAAATGGTTTGAAGAAAAAAAAAATATAGGATACTTACATCAGTTCTTTGATGTTTATGGTGAAATAGCCAAATCTGGTTCCGAACTTTCTGTATTACAAATACAAAAAGCCAGAATAGAAATCAAAGACGCACTGATAACCAAAACCCACGCAAATCTATGGTTCTGGATCTTACACTTTAAAAAAACTAACTCAAGTTCTGGATCCAGCTCAATAGAAAAAAGTAATCAAAACAACAAATACATGAAACATAGATCCAAGGAACATACATAGGCCAGGTCATATTGAACTTTGGTATCACCATGGCTGTCAACAAAAGTAGTTACACATCACTTGTAATCCAAGAGCAGATTAGGGCAACGATAATAGTCGCTGCCTTAAGAACATCCATTCTCTAGGGTTTTTGGTGTGGAAAGAAGAGGATAGAAATCGAAGAGATCAATTTTCAGTCTCGAGGATGCAGAGACATCGGTCGGCGAAATTTGTGGAAGAGAATAAGAAACCCTAATACTTTAACGGATTTAAAACTCTCTCGCGTAATCTTTCTTTGTCGATCGATTGATTTTGGTAGTGAAAATCAAACGTAGAAGAAATGGGGAAGAAACAGAGAAGGGAGTAGTGAGAGAGATGGAACAACACTTTCGATATTTTGGATCTAACGGGCCTCAATCTTATAACAAAGCGAATATACAAAACAAAGAGTCCAAGATCAATCAATTTCATGTGTTGACATGACAATTTAGAAGTTTTTTGTTGGTCGATTATTTAATCAGACATGAACAGTCTCTCATTTACTTATATTTTTATTTTATTATTGTACTATGATTTCCTTAACGGAATTCCAATTTTCGGGGTCTTTTTAATTTTTTCGTTTAAATGAAGGATAACATAGTCATTTTAATATCATCCTCATCCTTCTGACCTACAAATCAAAAGATAAATAAATAATAATAACAATTATGAACTTCCGACATAAGTCTCGGTTAACCGATCTCCCCGTCAAAACCCCCAATGGATGTTGTAGATGAGTGGGGACGCAAAGCCTCCGTCTCCTCCACCGGAGAATCAATCACTCCGTTCTTCTCGAATCCAACAGAATCACAGCTACTCTTCTCTTCTCCCTCACTCTCTCCTCCGATTCTCCACCGCGTCCCTCACCTAACCCACGCGCGATTCCTCACCGTCTCCGGAGGCATCCCACCGTCTTCTTCCTCCGCAATCGAGTCCTCCTTCCGTATCCCACATCCCAACAACGAAGCCGCTAGGGTTCTCTCCTACAACCGCCTCCAGTTTCTACCTCTCCCCTGTAAAGATTCTGTCTTGGTGTTTTTCCCTACCGGAACTAACCTCGATCAACTAGGGTTCGTGGTGATTTCGTCCTGTGATGGAATCCAGGTCATGGGTTTGGATAAAGGTGAAGTCTTTGTGGCGAAAGAGAGATTCTTTTCTAGAATTTTGAAGATTTCAGTGCAGCCCGTTAGTGATTTGAGATTAGTGTGTAAGTCTCTCATGGGGTATGTTATGGTTTGTTTGTTGTATTCGGTTCATTGGTACTGTGTCAAGTACGATGAGGCTCGAGGGAGACCGGTTTTGAGTTACATTGGATGTCAAAAGTTTAAGAGCTGTTCTGTTGCTAACGCCTCTTGGAGCCCTCAGCTTACTGGAGAGTGTTTGGTGCTGTTGGAGAACGGTGAGGCCTTTTTGTTTGAATTGAATGAGAATCATTGTAGTGGATTCAGAGGTTGTAAGATGAAAGTTTCTTGGGAAGATCATCAAGGGAAGAGTTGGTTAGGATGTGAGTTTGGTTGGAGACTTGGGACTTTTATTGTTGCTAGGTCCGATGCAGTGTTTGTCATCACCAGAAGCTCTGGGAGTTGTTGTAGTGTGAGAGCTTTGTTGGAGTCTGAGAGTTTGAACATGGATGGAACTGAAGAGTTTGTTGCGTTTGCCAAGGCGGGTATTGATGATAGTTTTAGGTTCATTCTAGCTTCTAAGAGCTATGTTTATCTTTGTGATCAGAGGTCAGGAGTGCCTTTGTTGAAGTGGCAGCATGATGTTGAGAAACCTTGTTTTATAGATGTTTATAGCTTGTCTGATCTCGGGTTTCAGACAGATGAATCAACTACTTCATGCCTTGTAATAGGGTCGTTTTGGAGCGCAGAGTCTCAAATGTTCTGTTATGGACCTGCTAATGATTCTTCTTCCTTGTATGTATGGGAGCTTCCACACAATCTACTCTCACCAGCTGGAAAATGTCTCTGCGGGGATTGTGAAATCAGAGAAGTGATAATGAAAGAGTCTCTCCCTGTCTGGATCGATTGGCAGAAAAACAGAGTTCTTGTTCTTGGTTTTGGAGTTTTAAATAAGTACCTTCCATCACTTAGTTCTTCATCAGATGGGTTTACTTTGATTCGGTTAAAATCCTCAGGGAAGCTCGAAGCTGTCAAGTTCCATACCTCTCCTGATCCTTTAAATAGCTTAGAAGCAGTATCTCACATTCACAGAGACTCCACCTGCAAATCTGAGGAGGTGAACTTATTGTACCATCCTGATGATAACTTATACAAACTCCCAAGACGGTTCAAATACCTAGAACTAGACTATCTCTCTGCTTACACAAAAGGGAACCTCTCCAAGTTCTTAGAATCGATGATGAGTAAAAAGAGATCATCAGGTGCAAAGAAGAACAATCCTCTTAGCTTAACATACCATGAAGAGTTATGTGAGAAGCTGAAACTCTGCGGGTTTGGTAGAGACAGATCCTCCTCTACAGTTACTGCAGTCTTCAACAGTATCAACTCACCAACAAGCGTTTTCGATATTGCTCTGAGAGAAACTTGGTCAAGCTTACCTATGGAGCTTTTGTTGCTTGCGTTCTCGAACTACTCTGATGTTGAAGGTGTTCTGTTAGACAAGAAGAAACCATCTCTTGAGTTCTTATCTGTTCCGGAACTTCCACAGTTACCACCTTTCCTCTTAAGGAAACCTTCACGAAGAAGCAGCAAATGGTCGAAGAAGGTGCAGCCTGGTGTTGACCTCATTGGTCCAGTTCTTCCACTCCAAGTCCTCCTCACGTTACACGAGTTACGTAACGGTGGTCTGAACTCAGAACAACAAGAGTTCTCACCAGATGCAGAGTTCTCAGACCGGTGCAACCAAATCTCCAAAGCGGCTCGGGAAATGGCAAACTCAGGTGCAGACGAGAGAACAATCATATCACTTGACGATGACATGTGGCTTAACAATGACTCACAGAAGGAGAAGAAGCGCTTCATTGCTTATTCACCCATCACAAAGACAGATGATGATTCAGACAAGGAGCATGAAGAAGAACTCACAAAGTTTGTCTCTAAGGTGCGTCGTAAAGACAGTGATGTTGATGATGTTGGTGGAGGAAGATCAGGGCTTGAGGTTTTTAATGATATGTCGCCGGTGGAGATTTGTTTCGAAGAACGTGAGGCGAGTTTTGATATGAAGGCTTTGTTTATGTGCAAGGCGCTTCTCTCTCAGTGGCAAGATCGTTCTACTCCATATCAAGACTTTCTTTCTCAGTACCATCTTCATAAATGAGTTTAATAGTCTTTTACAACACACACACGGCTTTGTTTTGTCTTCACATAACAATTTTGTATGGTCTGATCATTTAATAATATATGCTATATTCATTTTTTGAGGATAAGGAACTGCAAATCTCTATACTGCTTTCTTCTTCACCTGTGATAGATAATATGGTTATCGTTTGTCTATCTGTATTTTGATTGTGGACAGGAATAAGTTGCAACCAAAGAGGTGGAACCAGTCCTTACTCTAAACCTGTCACTCTAAGAACCAACAGCTCCCAAGGAGGATTTAGGCTAACAAGACTTGAAAAGAGTAAATAACAGATCAATCAAGATTTGCATTAGTTCCAACATGATAGTTATCACTAATCAGTTACCTTATCTTATAAGTAAATCACAACTGATAAAGGTAATATGTATGGGATATTGTTGCAGTCATGCGTCGCACAAAACATAATAAAACAATGAGAGAGGTCCTACTTTGTGTTCAAAAGAAGAACAGCACTTATTACTTGTTCTTGGTCTTCTTGTCTTTCGAAAGTCTTAAGATAGATCCAAACCCAAATGGAGATGGACTACTACCTATCACAGGAGTTACCCGAAAGCTTCCTCCTCTGCTGCCGCTATTCTTTACGGAGTGCTTCTGTGGCCTGAACTGATACGAGCTGCAGCATGTAGAGGGAGGACAAGATGACGTATCTGCCACTGGACGTGGGGCTCCATGTCTCTGCGAGCTATGCGTGTTAATGTCCCTAAGCATTGCCCTCTTCGAGTTTATCACTGATCCTGTGGAAATGCTTCTTGTCAAACCAGGAAACGAACATATCAAATTCTTCTTTATATCGCAGTTTAGGCTCGAGCTTCTGTTGAAGCTCCAAAACGACTTTGATGACTTCTCTGCCTCCGAGACTGAATGTGCGCGACGGTTTCCGATTCCTGGAGTCTCCTTGTCGCAGAATTTTCTAGACTGTTGAGGTGATGGCAATGGCTGAGGAGGAGAAGGTGGAAGAGAGGAGGAAGGAGTGGAGATGATAGGAGGGAGCTCGTACTTGTAACGACGTTTTGGCATGGTGGATGCAGCAGTTACTTGGAAAGGAAGGATAGGGAGGATCATCCCATCAGCGAAGATCTCATCAGCTGGTGAGGAATCTCCAGGATCAAAGCTTCTTGAAGTGTGGAACTCAAATTCTGAATCTAAAAGTGTTGTGTCTCTTCGAACCAGGCCTGGTGGTTGCTGTTGTTCCATCGGAGGTGTTTTGTCTGGTTGGCCAAGATCGCCAGCGAACGATATTCGCAGGTGATTTGACTCTGCAAAGACCATCATGGTTCGTTTTTGCTGGAACAAACGATCATAAGTTTAGTGAAAACCAATGAGAAACAGAGAAGAATGAAAACTGACCTTGTTTTGGAGGGATAGGAAAGATGAAACTTCTGCTCAGAGACTTTTTCCTTGAGAAGATGATGAATGAAAAGGTTTAGGAGATCATGATGATTTGAAACATTTCAAGTATATAGTATTAGAGGTTGAAGACCTCTATTAAAATAATTGATATGGTGTGCCACTACTGAAAGAGACAAGGAGCTTAGAAAAAAAAAAACTTAATGGTCATGTTAGTGAAAATCAATAAGAAACAGAGAAATGTAGGGAAAATGAAACTCACCTTGTTTAGAGGAAAAGGAAAGATGAAACTCTGTTCAGAGACTTTTGTTTTGAAGATCATAATGTTTTGAAACGTTTTAGATTAAAGTTCTTAAGTCTATGTATTAAGACGTTGCAAACCTATATTAAAATACTGGAAGTGGCGTGCCACTACTGCAAGAAACGGCAAAAAAATTGAAAACATAATGTCTGAAAATGAGATTTCAAGGGTTGAATAAGTACCTTACCTTTCTACTTTGTGTCCAACGTTAACAGTTTATTCTTTATTTGTTTCTTTTCTGTTCTCCTAAGTTGAACACTGCTAACGTGAGCCACCTTCAAGAAACAGTCTGATCATGGCTTTTAACTGCGAGCTGTTTTGGATAACTGCAGAAGTTCTTGACTTTATCGAAGCACGAGCATGGAAGAACTAGAAGGTTTCTGAAGATTTTTCAGATCATTACCAGGTTTGTTATCATCATATCGCATTATCTTACAAAAATCACTATGTAAAACCTTATTGCAGCAAGCAGCAGGTGTCCCAGCTCAAGTGTTCAAGAGATAATACAACAGTGCTTGTAACTCAACTTACCCCAGAGAAAGGAAGCTGACTGAAATCTTGAACATGTTGTTGCGAAAAGAATCTTGGTCTGAATCCTGCAAAAGTTGTGAAAATATCTAACAGCAGAGACATTGTTTGCTCATCAGAGTTTCTGGACACAAACATGATCAATCTTAGCAAGATTAGATTTTGATTTTTTTTCAAAATTTCCAATTCAAGTCCACCCCTAAGCTGCTAATAATAGAGACAAAAAAAATACAAAGATGTAAGGAAAGTTGCAGAGAGCTGCATTTATTGATTAAACAAAAAAAAAGAAACAGCTGGAGATTCCATTGCCATGGAGATTACAATTAGCTTTTGGTAATGAAAAAAAACACCAGTTTGTCTCTCTCTTTTACAAATAGAAGAAGAAACCAAAGTATAAAATGGCTTCATTTACTAAAAAACTGAGGTGTGGACATTACTACATTCTTTTGCTTCCTTTTTTTACAACAGAACAGATTAGAAAAAACAAACAAAAGATGATACAGAAAGAAGAATGTCTTTGGAAGAAAGCACCTTTTGATTTCATGTTTCAGCAGCAGCTTCAGGGACGTCATAAGAGCCTTCAGTTACTTCTTCCGCTAACCACAAACCCGGAAACAGAGTCTGCAAACCATAAATGAAAAAAAAATGTTAAAAGCAACAAAAAAAAAAGAACAGATCAATTGAGAGAAAAAGGAGGGAACTTTACATTCATTTGCTTCTGAACAAGTCTGGGCCTCTTCTTGGGCCTACGAGGAGGCTTTTTACCAATCAAGGCAGTGAAATCCTCTTCGATCTCTTCTCTCAACAAAGCAACAGAGAATTTCAGTTTCTGCTGCGATGATGAATCTCCATCTTTAACGCCGTTAATTTCATGCGTCGTCGTTGGTAGTGGCTCATCTCCACCACCAGGTTCGTTACAAGCAGCTCTCCTCGTCCTCAGATTCCACGGCCTAACTGCTTCGCCTCCTCCGTTTGCTAAAGCTGAGACCTTTGGCTGAGCAGAGTCTCCTCCTCCTCCGGGAGATCCATGATTGACGCGATCGGGAGAAGGAGAGGAGGAGGAGGAAGAAGGTAGCTTGACGCACCTGAGGAATCTTTGCTGACCCCATCGGAGATAAGGTAAGGTGAAGTTGTGGAGGCGTTTTGATCTATCCGGAGGTGGAGGAGGAGGAGGCGGAGGAGGGAACTCCATTGATTGATTTGATTGGAAGAAGAAGAAGAAAGATTCCTTTCTTTGCGATTTTTTGGTGAGAGCTTTCCTTTGGAGCAAAGTTCAAAGTTTTTTTTTTTGTTTTGGTTTTCTGTTTGGTGCGTGAATATATTTATTCGGAGGAAAATTTTACTTTTTTGGTTCGAATTATTCGGGGAAAGGGAGAGAGAGAGAAGGTTAGGGAAGCGATTGTAACGTCGTTGTGCTTCGATCAATTGTTTTGTCAGCTTCAGACTCGTCTAAAATCAGCTTTGTTTATTACTACAAAATCAAATACATACTGCGTATTCCAAAAATGAGGAGAATTTTTTAAAGTATAGTTTAATCCTGTTTTTGGTAAAAGTAGTTTAAATTTTTGAAAAGTGACGTGTGTGTGTTTATTAACATTCAACGTTTTTTGTAAATTGTAATCATAAACCAGAAGTGACATTAATACTCATAAATTCTGCCCAAGTTTTTCTTACAAATTTAATAAAATAAAATAAATTCATGACCTCGACGGTCTATGGAAGAGAGACTTCTACAGAACATCAAATTCTAACACTAGGGACTACAAAAACGTTCATTACCAATGTTGCATGCCTCAACTTACCGTGCAAGTGATCGGATATAGTATGCATCAACTATCTTTTGTATTATCAAGTTTTGGTCAAACGGGACTGAACAGATCATGAGATGAATATCCATGGTTATTTTTTTGTATCATCAAACTTGCCCAATAAATGTGATACTTCGCATTGATGTTAGGTTTATAGGAAGATTAGGTTTATCAACAAAGCTAAGAACATGGTAACTACAATGTGATCCAAATTTTGTATATCAATTCCATTCTGTCAGATGGGTTTGAGAAAGTTAATAGACGAAGTAAATGTTTTGAACATGAATAGTCAAAGACTCCGAAGCATACATATATGTATTGCCCCTTTTGTGTTTGCAAATCCAGAGTTATCTTTTGTTGAAATGACTGGTATGTCTGAACTTGTGTTGTCGAAAGGAATATCAGAAGAGTTGAATCCAACGAATGGATGCATGAATTGATGAGTTCACACCTCTATAGACCATATAGAGGCCGTGAAGACTTTTTACTTTGGGATTTTTGTAAACAGATCATGAGCTATTTTACTTATGCAACTACTTACACCCTTTAAAGAGAGTCTCAGCTTATGCAAGGAAAACAAATAACAACTAACAGATATGTGAAGACTAGAGAGCAATGATCAAGAGAGATTTGCCCTAAAAGCCAAAATGTATAATGTTAACCTAATTTAATACTCTTCAAAAATCTTTAACATCTCAGACAGAGACTATACAAATAAAAATACTATCAACGGGCTTTTAATTATACGAACCCTTCTTTACCACATCGTTGTGCGAAACAGAAAGTGAAACAAACAAAAATAAAAACAAGAGTGAAAACCCCTCTTACGTTGTTTTCAGGATGAGGTTGAGCAGTCTGGGACGGTTGTTGTTTCTCTGATCACACGGGTGTTGTAAGAACCGCAGGTTCCGCATTTATGGTACAACCAATGGAACCGTGTTGTTCCTTTGCGTTCACAGTCATTACATAAAATGTCCTGAAAATGTGAGAGTGTGTCAATCATATGAATTAGACTGGAGTAATAAGCATTTTGAGTGTTTCTCACCTGACAGCGATCTTTGTATTCTTCTGGAAGCTCTTCTGCAGCTAACAATGCATCAAGCATACCGAAATAAACCTGCAGAGTTTGAGAAAGAAACAAAGAAGAAATGGCTAAGTGGTTTGCTATTTGCAATTATTTGATTTGAAAGATTACGCTCTGAGGGACAGGAATGAACTTACAGCCATATCTCCTAATGATTTTCCACAGATTGGGCATGTGTAGTGGCTGCAAGTGTAAGCCTGAAAGTGACCACAGAAACAGCAAAGTGTTATGATCTAAGGCGATACAATGTAACCTTACCTTTAATGAGAAAAAGAGAGATTTGTAAACCTGGAAGCAAGCTGAGTGCATGTAGTGACCACATGGTAAGGCTCTGACTGCTTCACTCGATGTGAAAAGAAATTCACAGCATATGGGGCAATTTGTCTCCAGGCTTTTCTCGAGGCACTTGTGGTTTACTAACTTCATCCCCAGGCAACAGTTACATTTCATGCAATGGAAATAATCGATTCCTAGCCCCTCACCGACCCGGCAAAGGTTGCAGAATGGACAGTGGTAAACAGCTCTGAGAGTAAAAAAAAAATATAATAGTTTCTAAAGGTTAGAATAGCTGCTCAAGTTTCATTTTTAACAAACGCAAGTTTTATTATATGGATCTTACCTTTCATCATCGAAAAGTTTGCAAATGCTGCAATAGTGCTTTGCCATTGGGAATCCATCGCATGAAGGCGTTGTGCAAATGGGGCCACAAGGTTGCACCTTGAGGCACCGCATGCAGAGCATTTCCGTCACCAATTTTCTGTCAAGTGTTCCAAATGGTAAAGTCATATCACCGAGAAAGAAAGAGTTCCAATTTAACTAGAGGAGATTGGCATCAGATCTTACCTATCCATGGAGTGGTCGCTTACTTTGTCATGGCAAAACCTACAAGTGAACAACTGACCACAACAAGCAGCCCGAAGCTTGCAGTTACGCTTGTAATGCTCGCATCCATATATCTGCTTCTCGGGATCTCGAAAAGACGGGAAACATCCAAGTGCAACATCACCATTTAATGCAGTTTCTGTTTCCGTGGGTAACTTTTGCTGAGCCACTATCCATCGACTGATAAAAGCATCCACAACTCAAATTTAAAATGGTTCCGGGTATGAGAGAAGTGAATGAGATTATAGATTCGCTATCGTTTCAGAAGGTTGTTCAGTAAGGACATACACGCAACACACACATATATATTAATATATACACAAGTTCGTTATGGATCGAGAAACCGAGACAGACATGAGCACCCTTGTTTACTCGGCCACTTTGTAAGTTAATTGTATTCAAGTATATGTGTATTCTACGTTTACGTTAGGAATGCATGAAAATGTGGAATAACGGATATATGCAGAGAAATAGTGGGAAAAAAAATCAGACCTGGTCCTCCAATTTTGTACTAGATAATCTTTTCTCCTTGGATCAAGTGTTGTGTCCTGATAAACCTTTCTGATTTCAGCCTCTAGTTCGTTCTGATTCATGCGGAAAATATCTTTCCAACCCGGCTTAAAAAGTTGACCAGTTTGGTCCAAGACCTCTTGATGATCATTATCTATATGAAAAATAAACTTGACGTAAGCAAAACAAATTTAGCAGAGAAAAACTACATAGCCAACCAAAGTAAGAGTTATGAAGTCCAAAGCACAAACACCTAAGGTCTACATAAAACCAGCTAGATGTTAAGTTGGTATAAAATACTTAGGCAAATGCTTTTACCTCTGTGTAGACTAGGTTTGGCTCTTTCCATTGAGGATGAGTCGGGTGATCCTTTCCAGCATTCATTGAGCCATTCATCAAACATCGTGTTCTTGGTTGCCTGCTTCCATGTATCCATCATTCTATTTTGCTCATCTTCAGAAAGTGCGGAAGTCACCCATGGTAACATGGATTGAAGAACTTCAGCACCCGTTGTCCCGATAATACGACCCACAATCTTGTCTTGCTCTTGAATGGAGAAGTGTTTGTCAAATAGAGGCCAGAGCTCCAGTTCCTCCAAGAATATATGTTGATCTAGTGTGATCTTAATGGATTTGCACATCCCTTGTAGCTTTGTAGCCAGTTCGTTGTACTTCTTGCAGTCACCGTTATCAATATCAGCCCGAACAGTGTCAATAGAATCACTCTGTATCTTCTCATGAAGAACTGAGAGTTCAGTAAGAACACTGTAAATATCTCCAAACAACTTTTCCTCATGTTTATGGTCGAGCGTGTAAGAGTGGCTGACATTGTGAAGCGTCTCCTTCGATTCCAAAGCTGGAAATAGGATATCATCTTCCGCATTACTATGAGCCTTGTAGAAACCCCAGAGTAGGTGAAATCGACCAATGAATTGACGAATAAACGTTTCATCGCAATCAATGAGCTTTCCAGATTCAACATCAAGAAACTCCAGATCTTTGCTTATGGCCTTGTGAAACTTGAATATCGTAGCAACTGGCCGCTCGGCATTTCCAGTATCAGAGCTGTTGCTATTCATTTCCCAACCAAAGAGGCTAGAATTAAGAGCGGGCGCAGCAGAGTTTAGCGAAGACGATCTCATAGCTTTAGCTGCTGGAAGGGAACCAAGTCCCAGAGTATCACTGTTAACTCCAAGGTCCGGCACACAGCATGACCTACCATTTCCAGATGGCTTGCAACCATTTTCGACTTCTGACGAGTGAGAGGTGGCATTTTTTCCACAAGAAGACACAATAGTTCGCTTAGCTGGCCTTTTATCCTGATGCTGGCAACACGCTTTTATACTCCTACTCGGGCATGACACAGACACACAAGCATTACATGACTGAAGGTAGACTTCTTCCATGTTGCTTAGTGTTTTAGCAGGGCACGAACCATTCGCCTTTGGAGACAAGCATTCCCCCGCTTTGCGTCCTTTGCATGCCCAACCAGAGAAAAGAGTAACGAGAGCAGCATCCGATTTAGGTGCTGAGGCAACAACGAAACCATGTAATCGTACAAGATTGTAAGTCGCTAGTATTTCTTTTAAAAGGTGAAATTTCATCAAAGAATGTAAACAGTAAGATTGTACCTCCAGCTTGCAAGTTCTTCAGAAAATTCTTAGCTTCATCTTCCGTTAAAGATGCAGTCAACCATGGCAAAACACGCTCAATTAATCTTAAGGGCATTATGCACAGGCTTTGGTAGAGAAGCTCTTGTTGTCTTTTAAAGCTGAAGTTCTTTCGTGCAAGAGGTAGCACCTGCAAATATTGTGAAGTTAGCTGACATCCAAAACTGGCATTTTGGATCTTCATAGCCTATGGTATCAACTGATCTTATGCCGAACTTCCAAAGATTCACTTGTTAATAAGAGTATACGTCACAACACTTAGGGGAAAAGTCCACCTGAATTTCCTCGTTGTGGAAGTGCCGTTGAATTGTTTCCATTATTTGATCCGCATGTGAGCACAGCTTGGTGTAAAATTCAGCAGCAGAAGTAGAAGACGCTCCAGCACTTTTGATTTTTTCAATTAAGCATCGAAACTCGTTAAACTGGTTTTCTTCTTCGTCGTGCTCCTCTGAAAATGAAAACTCCCCATCTACTGCTGGAAATATGATCTTGTCCTCTGCAAGACTGCAACGACAAAAAAAATAGTGTTCATCTCAGAAAAATTAAGGAAAATACATTTTTAATGATA